TATCCATTGTTCAGGAAAATGATTAAGGAGAAACAATGGATACCACTGCTCCAAGCTAATCTGAATCTTTTGCAGCTGTTCTTACATCCTAAACAAGAAACTTAAGCTAATTCGGTCATTCTGCATCAGATGTCACCTGGTCCAAATACTGTACTCTTTATGCTGAGAGGATCACCAAAAAGGTGGGGTTTGGGGATCCATGCGCATAGCCAGTGCAGCATTTTGCATTTACGTGCCTGGCACTGAAAGATCTATTGTAGGTAAATGCTGTGGAGGGGAGTTGTTGATAATGAAGTCAGAGCCTGTAAAACATGATTTTATAGGGAAGTAAAATGAAAGTCCCACATTGTTCCTGTGTATGACAGTGTGTAAATTACTATTCTGATGACCTTCATCCAACAGAGAAATGACAGGGCGTGGGAGAAGAGAAGAGAGGAAGGGAAAGGATAGATGGAGGGACAGCAGCTCCAGAAGGAAGATGGAAATGGCATTCCTTCTACATTTCAGAACTGATCCTTGCAGCTTGTGCTGTCAATAAAGCAACCCTAACAATTACACCTTAGGTACCACACTGCACCGGAGAAAGCTGCGTGTAGATTGAACACTCTTCCATATGCTTTTTCACCTGTCCTGGAGCAGAAATCAGCCACAAGCTGGTGACGAAGCCAGTCATAAACAATCGTCAACAGGGAATAGAGAGAGAGAAAAGCAAAGCAGAAAGAAGCAAGAAGCTGAGCGAAGCAGTGTTCACTAGTGGGTGAGATGATTAACGATTAACCCCCCTTGCCTCTTGCCTCCACCCATTTGGGTAGTATAGGCCTTGAAGGGCAGCAGATTCTTTCAGAGAAATATCTGAAATAAAGGCCAACAGATAGGGGACGCCGGCAAAATCAGTTGGAGAGGTTGAGGGGGCCAATAACCTCTGGCTGTGGAATCACTGCAATCTGGCCCGTGTTTGCAGATGATAATGCGCCTTTCCAAAGCCCTGATAGACATGGAGATGGCAGATTACAGTGCAGCTTTAGATCCTGCATACACGACACTGGAGTTTGAGAACATGCAAGTCTTGGCAATGGGCAGTGGTAAGTCCATTTCAGAGGGTTGTTCTTCTCTGTCAAAGTTGGGGTTGGGGACAGGAAGGATTCAGAAGTCCATTTTTTCTGACAGCAGCAACCACCAGATAGTGTGGAGCAGACGTGATTACAGTATGCTTATTTCTTTCTTCCCCCTATAAGGAAAAGCCTGGTGGTCATGGAGGTTCTGCTCCCGCAGGCGCAAATGTTTTCCGCATAAGATTTTGTTTGTCTGGGACTCTGCTTGGCTTTGACCAGCTGACATTTCACAGGATGATTGTGGTATAGGAATTGAAACCATCTTATAATTTGCTGTCACACTTCACACAAATCTGGCTGTGGAAAACATAGGAAGAAGCCCCAGAAGGAGGCATGGTTGGGGAGTATACAAGGAAAATAAATGAAATTGGGTGATTGTTCCTGTATGAGTAGGTTTTAAAAGGAGCAATGCAACCCTTAACTTTTTCTTGTTCAAGAAATGATTGAGGTCCAAGGGCCCATTAGGAAATGAAATGATTCTTTTGATAACATCATACCAATGAAAATGTTTCATATTGTCTGTGCCATAATATACCGCAGTGAGAATGAAGCAGAATCAGAAGCCTGCCACTGTGACCCTATGCATTCATATTTGAGAATACGATTCCGTAACATAATAGAATTTAATTCTGAGTGCGCACACAATCCCACACAGGATTGGGAAATATATGATGAAATACGATGATCATGATTATTACTATTATTACTATTATTATTTCCCATAGTAATGCTTATATCTAGTGCAACACCCCCTATAATATATATTATTATATTATTGCAATGTTTATGATTATCTTGGAGTCATGTAAGTTCATATTATCAATGGGAACAAAGGCTTGCAAAATTCAACCTAGTGATTTTGTGTCTGGGGACACATGTAGGCCAGATGCTTCCTGCCTTGCAGATCAAATGTTTAGATACATTCACCATGCTCCACTTCCCAGTTTTCTTTGCCAAGGTTGTAAGTAGCCCGGTGAGATGGCTGCAGATAGTTTTGAGAAGTTTTGTAGGAAGGAGTCGATGAGCACAATAGGCTGCACTTTGGCTTCCTTGACTTTCATTTTCCTACAGGAGCTGTTATTTTATTCCATTGCTGAAACTTCTAAAAATTTGTTTTTATTTAAACAAAAAACAACCCTCTTTGGCACATTTACCTCCAGTCTCCAAAATAAAAGACTAACCAATATTGCTAATGTAGTTCTGGAATTCAGAAAATATTTTCTAGAGTCTTAATATGGACACTTTCATGCTTCGTGTCGGATTTTATAAGAAGTTGTCATTACTACTTCCATCATGATTAGGTATAACCTCAGTCTGTTTTCTTCTATTATGCATTTCCTGCATAAAGGCTGTGGTCTTTCCTTTGATCCTTTTCTTTATTTTAGTTGGCATAATACTGCGTATCTTATTGCCTCAATGAGTCTGATAGCTTCAGTGGCATGCATTAAAATTCAGAACTTTCTAACATTTGGAAAATAGCATGCTGTGAAATAAAAAATGGGCTCATTTATGACAATTTTTATTCTTCTTAGAGAGATGCATTCTATATTTTCTGGAAATGGTACCTTATTTCCTTACTGTCATGCAACAAGGCTTTAGGACATTTAAAATGGAAAGACAATTGTAGGCCTGTACATAAACATGAAACTGTGGAATTTGTTCTAGGGAGAAGCAAGGGAATCCCCAGCTCTCTCTCAAAACTGCAATTCCCAGCATTCTTTGGAGAATATCTATCGAAGGTTTAGTGATAATACCTGGGCAATGAAAATAGAACCAACCTGGTCAAAATTAGGATAAATGGTAACTTGATCCCGTTCAACCAGTAGTAAAGAAGTATTTTAAATAAATAAAATATATAGACACTGCTGAAAATTAACTCATCCTTCCACTCAATGTTTTATTTGGAATATTGCTCCCAATTCTTCATTCTTATATTTTTGAAGTATTGCTTCTAAGTTAATATTGAAAAGGTAATAATAAAGAGAGGTGACTAAAGTGAAAGTGATGTTTCTGAAAGGTAGTGTGTAGAAAGTAACTTTCCAAACTAGTAAAGATAGTAATGAACGAGCTTGTATTAAGTTATGTTCTTTCTTTTTTTTCCTGCCTTCACCTATGGTCAGACTTTTATAGGTTTTTGTATAAAAGCTTGGATGTAGTATCTAGGGCCACCACAAAGTGTGTATTGATATTTGGGTGTGGCTGCTGCTGACACCTGCTGGAAATTGACTGAAGTGAGGAACAGTCCTCTCTCTACATAAATATAGCTTGTGTACACAGGGAGGCACATACTCCATGTTCTTCATTTTGTAAAACTTTACTAAATTATTAAAGGCTATATACTGCAGAATCCTATCACAACCTGAATGCATGTGGCTGCTAAAAAGATAAATGCAATTATAGATGCATATAATTATAAATTATATATCCACTGAAATATAGTTTTCAAGTCAAAGGAAGTAATAGTTCTGCTATTGTCTACATTGGTTACACTCCACTCTGTTCATTTGTGGTTACTGTGTTTTAAGGAGGATTCATGAAACTGCAAAAGGCGAAGTGAAGGGCAGATAGAGATGATCAAATAAAACTAATTCTTTGAGGACAGGCTAAGGAAATCGGGTATCTTTAATCTTGGAAATACAAAGGGGAAGGTGTTGGGATATAATAATCCTTTCCAAGTTCTTGAAGAAATACCAACAGTCATGACTCTTGTCATCCAGGAATCTGGGACACAGAATAGCAGTCTTAAATTACAGAAACGTACATTCCAGTTAAATGTTAAGAGAAACTTCATCAGAGTAAAAGAGTTCAACAGCACAGCCAATTACCAAGGCAAATCACTCAGAAGAATTTGCCAGTTGGCTAATGCATACAGATAAATGCAGAAATAAGGCAACAACTTTCACAAGAACTAATCACAAAGCACTGATCTCACCAGGGAGAGTCTGCAAAATAGCAATCTATTTGATTTATGATACAATGAACTCTTTATCTTGATCTCTTTCCCTTTACCAGTATCATTTAATTACTTGGTACAATTTGTTGTATAGCTGCTTGGTTACACAGGTGACCAAAGAGATGCCAAGTTGGCTATTATCAAATCCTTATCACAACTCTTTGTTCATTGCCTTCTTCATTTTGCAGCTTCACATTTTTCTATCAGAGCTTCCTTTTTCTGTTGGAAATGTTTGCTGGACAAGTAGGGTCAATTGGTACAGGGAAGGAGTAGCTACTTAACCCTTTTAACTTTTTATAGTGAAATGTTGTGAAAAAGTGTTCAGTAATCAAATGTGCATACTCATCGTTGCTAGCAACAGCACCCATTAGACTACACTACTTGCTATTCCAGAAGAGCAGAAGATAACTTTTATTGTTAGGTTCCAATGTGGAATCGAGAAGAAAATATGTTTGCAGTGGAAAAGGAAGTTCTGGATGACAAACCCAACATATATAGAGAAACAGTCTTCAATGTGCCTTTTTGAATAAAATACAAATAAGTCACTAAGAAGACAATTCCTCACTTTGTTATGTTTGTTCACTAATGTCAATGCCCTTTACTCTTAGAATGTTGGGTTAGTAAGTATCTTGGCCAGCAGCAACCCAAACACAGTTGAGAAAATCATGGATTAATTAATAACATTGATATTGCCGATTATATATGGCATCGTTAGTGTACATGAGGAAGCAGATTATTTGGATCCCTAGCACTCAGGGATGGGATACAGCAGACAAACTGCATCAGTCACACTTGTGGATTACCTTTGGAGAGACTGGGATTGGGGAAGTGCAATCCTCCTGGTTCTCCTTGATCTCTTGGAGGCTTTCAATATAATTGACCCTAATATCTTTCTTTGAGGGATTGGAGTAGAGAGCACTGTTTTGTTTTGCTTCTCCTTCCTGAAGGGTTGGTTCCAGAACATTTGGAAGAGTATAATTAGTACTGATTGTGGTGGCCCAGGCAGTGCTAGGTATATCCCCATATACTCAGTTGGCCCTCCTGCTTTGGAAATCAACCTAGATTCTACCATTGCATTTCATGGGAATAAGCTAAACTGTGGAACAGGAAGTCCCTGTTTAGAGCTTATCTATGTTATTAATTTCTTTCTCACCCCCTCTCCTCCACCCATACTATTAAAATACAGTACTGACTCACTTTGCAAGGTTGTTGGAACAGTGTAAGTGAAATGTTTTCATACTCAAAAAGCACTGAATGAATGTGTTATATACATGTGTGACTTTAAGCCTAAAATAAGATCCTTAAGGAAGCTTTCAATATAACAATAAAACATTCTGTTATAGTCTAAATGTCAACTGTAATAACTTCAAAACTAATTAGCATATATATAATTTAAATTAATTTAAATATAGGTTGGATCTTGGAACTGGAACAGCATCAGTCACCTTGTTAGATGATTCATGCTGGAAACTGGGCAGAAGGTGCATGTCTCTTAGCTTTGCTAACCACTTAGTTGCTTTCAGCACTGTTGGCCATGCTGTCCTATAGTACTTGGTCAATATGGAATGGGACTTTCCGATGGGTTTAACTTATAAAGTTGTGGTAGGAGACTATTGCTCAAACCCTTGGTATATGCAGTTCCTCAATATTGTGCTTTTTAGTTTTGATATGGAACTACTGAGTGGATCATTTGAAGTTTCAGAGCTGATTCTATGTTAATATCACCCAATTCTGTCTCTCTTTTTCAAATGATGGCAAGGAGATGGTGGAAATGCTAAACAATTATCTGATCACAGTAAAGAACAGCATGGGGGTGAACAAACTGAGGTTCAATCCAAACAAGATAAAGGGCCTATTAGTCAACAAGCAAACCATCCCAGGATTTGGGACCACGCCTCTTCTGGGTAGCAGCCTTTGCATTAACAGACCAAAGTTTAGAACTTGGCACTATCTTTGCTTTTGGAATATAAAGTGGTGGTAGCAATAATCAGGAGTACTTCTGTTGCTAAAGCAACTACATTCCTTTTTGCTCTACTTTAATTCAGACCTTAATTATTACCTGTTACATTCAGAACTTAATTATTACTTATTTAAATTTCTGTTTGGAAATTACAGCTATTGTAAAATGTGCAGAAGTATTGTCAGTCCTGTATTTTACATACCGTTTAACACTAGTACTGAAATAATTGCATTGGCTTCCACTTTATTTCTAAATTGAATTCAAGTGTTGATTCTTTCCTAAAAATCCCAGATGTCTTGGGAGAAGAGCACATATGAATGACCTCTTTCTCCCATATGAAACTGTATAATTTGCAGTTGAGTTGTATATCCCACTACTTAGAGAGGTGTGGATTTGTACAAAACTACAAGGTAAAATGCTAAGGCACTAAAGAGGAAAAATGCAAACACAAACTTCATTATTCAATACAGATGAATTATGTATAAGCCATGAAGAGCAAACAAATATTTCCTGACACAATATTTGCTGATATAAATAAATATTTGTTAAAATGGGATTCACTATAAAAATATAAATATCCCTGTGGATTTAATCAAAATCCCTACACAAGATAAATAAGAACATCTCATAAAAGTGTAGGAATTTCTGTGTAAAGATATGAGTTTAGTGAATACTCAAAGCAGAAACCACCTGTAGCAGTAACCATTGTAGGGAGGTTAAGTCAATTCCATCTTCTTTTAGTGACAATGGCATTTTTATTAGTTTATGTTACTCTACTTTAGTGTATTAAAGTTCTCTTTCCTTTTTGTTTCTGTTTTTAACTGATATATTGGTTTTTATCTTGTTAGATATTCATTTTAATTGTGCACTGCTTTCTGAGCATTGAGCAAAAGGGTTATGCATAAATATCTGAAGAGATTAGTTAGTGTATTATTTACAATCATATTCAAGACCTAGTTTGAATCTCAGCTCTGCCACTCACTTGTTCCCCTATCTACAGCAACAGGGATAATGTACCAACTTACCATACAGGGTTGTTTTAAGGAATAAAGCTAAATGAATGTATAGTGAGCATTTCAAATGATCTGAAGTACTAGATAAATAGTGAGCCATACCACAGAATGATTTTATCAACTCCCTTCTAATGTGCACATTCCTGTTCATTAAACAGTGTCTACAGCAAATCACTGGTAACCTGTTGCAAGGAGTGAAAACTCCATGTCCTGGTAACCCTTGAAGATATGTCTGTTTGTCTGTCCACCCATCCATGCACCCTTATTTCAAGACTGAATGTTCCAGAATGTTTCATCTATACTTGGGGACTGGTTTTTCCCCCCCATTGGAAACTGCCTCTCATGCCTCTGCTTCCATTTCATACACACAGCAGCCTGGAGAGGAACCCCAAAATGGAGTTTTGGTTGCTTGCAAGTTTGCCTGTATAGCATTGGATTTGCTTATCTGGTGCCATGTTGAAAGGAAGGGCTTTGAAGCTTCTTTGTTTTGATAATAGTTAACAAACTTCACAGGCTGACTGGTGCCATGGTGAAAGGAAGGCTCCTCTGTTGGTTAATAGTATTAAATTGAACCTGCCCCTACAAATGATCCCATAGTCTGTCTGTCTGTCAGGAAAAATGCTTCTGCAAACAACCAAATGCACATTAATACAGATGGACAAACTCTTACACCAGTGATGGTGAACCTTTTGGGCTCGGTGTGTCAAAAATTCGGAAAATGCCTAACTTGACTCTGCTGGCGTGTCACCCCTCCCCCCTGAACAAAAGAGAAACAATTCTTTACATATTCATTTATTTAAAAAAATACAGTCCAATCATGTGTGGTGCTATGTATTATACAAAGAAACGCCAAATAATTACAAAATGAAATACGAGTGAAACAAATTCAGTTTCTTTGGTAACTCAAACAGGAAGAATAGTTGTTGTTGGGTGTTGGTGAACACTGGTGTGTTCATCAGTTTTACATGCATGTCGTAGGTTCGCCATCACTGTCCTACACTATGTTTTTGGGGCAAGAATTGCTAGAAACACTTTCTTCCCCTCCCTGCTCCTCCTCCTTGTTTCCTGAGAAGAAAGGGATGGTTATTACTTCATGGGGTTTGGAAGCTGAAGTAGTTCTTATATTTGAAGTGGAGTGAGTGAGAGCTGATTGGTTTGTGTTCTCTGTGTTTAGCTATTGGCTAGCTGGGGTTGAACAATGATTGGTTGAAGATGCTGTTTGTGAGCTCCAGATTTACAAGCTGTGCTGACTCAAGAGTATATGGTGACCCTTGGCCACATTGACTGATGGGGCAACCTCTCATCAATGTGAAGGTTTGCATCTTGGAATGATTCAAAAGGAGGGTTGGTGCCCAAAGCCAGTGTCTACTCAGCCTTAGTCTAAAGCATGTTTGCAAGCATATAGATAATACTGGTTTGAATTAATATTTGATTTGCAGATGATGAATACAAAATGAGGAAAATGCAGATTTGATTTAATATATATTGGGACAATGTGTTGACAAATTGAATGGATAAGAGAGCTTCTTAAAGCTTTACTACTACTGTTGGTTGTGCGTGGACATGCATACCCCTAGTGATTTCTTCCTCCAGTTTGTGTCCTAGTTAGTTCATGATTGCTTCCTGTGTTTCTTGTTGAACAGACACTTCCCCATCTGAAGCTACAAACCTCAATACTTCCAACAACATTGGAGCCAGTGTGTTGTGTGCCATTTGTGGAGATCGTGCTACAGGGAAGCATTACGGAGCATCCAGTTGTGATGGCTGCAAAGGGTTCTTCAGAAGAAGTGTCAGGAAGAACCATATGTATTCCTGCAGGTAAGGAAGGCAGAGTGACCAGAAAGATTTCTAAAGTGATGAGATAAATGGTTAGCATTTAAAGGGTAACAAGGCTCAACTTTGTGAGATGTTCTTTCTTGAATCAAGAACTATATCGAAGAAAAATGAGAGAAAGAAGAACATTTAGCTTGGAAAATAGAAGAAAAAGGAGTTGGGAGCATGATGTCATCCTCCAAAAACATTAAGTGTGGTCTTATAAAAGAAGGCCAAAAGAATGTTTTCTGCTGTTCTAGAGGGTTAATCTACCTACCTTCAGGCGGGTAGATTTTGGTTAGAAGTAAGGAAAAAGTTCATAAATAATAAGAGTAGTTTTGATAACAAAACCAATTAGCAACTAAGAAGTGACTTTCTTCCTTGCTGGACTTCTTATAGAAAAGGCTGAAGAGCCATCTATCATGGAGAGATTTCCTGCATCAAGCATGGGATTGAGCTACAAGGCCCCCCACCAACTCTAATTCTGGACATTATGAAATGAAAAGAACATCCCTGGGTCCCATTCTCTGTTTTTTTTTTTTTAACATCCTTTCGTTTTCTCTGTGGTCTACCTTTTCACTCAGTCCAGAAGGCCTACAGGAGCATCTTAGGTAGATTTTTAATCTGGCTAAGAAAGATCCCTGTCTGTAAAAAAGCAAGATATAGAAGAGATGTAAGAAAAAAGGAGGATCTTTTCTGACATTTGGTATACAATGTACAATATCAAAAGGCTGCAATTTGTACCTCATTTCATACTGTATTATTGCAGCAAACATAATTCATTCTGTGTTAAAATTGTACATTGATTTCTTTTCAACCCATGTCTCTCTCCTTCTCTTTGCAGGTTTAGTAGGCAGTGTGTGGTAGACAAGGACAAAAGGAACCAGTGTCGATATTGTAGGCTAAAGAAATGTTTTCGAGCAGGAATGAAGAAAGAAGGTGAGATCCTTTCATGAATCACCAAATGAACTTGCTTTTTCATTGTGTGACTATGCTTTTAAGCCTGCTGTATTGATTATCAGATTCTATAGAAGGTAGCTATTTCCCCCCCGCCCCCAAACATCTGAAAGGAACTTTGATGTATCTGAGAATGAGTATGATATAATAGCTAAGGTATTGGACTGGAGCTGGAAGGATCTAGGTTCAAGTCACCACTTGTTCACAAGTTCACTAGATGACTTTGGACCAGTTTCTCAAGCCAGTCTTTTTGCCAGGTTATTGAAAAGGTAAAATGAGGGAAGTCCCCTATAAATACCGCCATGTGGTCCAAAAGGAAAACCAAACTAGACAGCATGGGAGCAGTACCTAAGTGTGTCTTAAATGATGTATCACAGGTAACAATAGACAGGTAATCTGTTTAATGAGGTAGATGGATTTATAACCATCACTAGCTGCATTATAATCCCAGCTCTCAAAGCAATTAAGACAATATTGTCATATCATTGGATAAATATGGTTGTTCTGCACTTCAGCTGGAAATTCAAATTTCCCTTTTTCTCTGCCTCTGAGGATGTAGATCAGAGAAGAGAGACTTTTTTCCAGTTTTGCTATCAGACACCATTGTGTCACTGGGAGGGACTACCTGGATTCAACACAATTAACAGCTGTTGTTTGCCATCTGAATTATCTGGGAAAAAATAGGAATGTAATATTTGGAGGAAAGATATCATTTGGATTTCCAAAAAGAAATTGATCATTATTATTGCAATTGCAAGTCTAACAAAGTGTTTTGAACTCTTGGAATATAGTATCCAAAGCAAAGGAGGACAATCTTTTTGCACTAAAGATCACATGTAGTATCAAATCACAAATTGGAAGTTCTCATACACATGTATGTGCACCTAGAAGCACAAAGGTTGTCATTGTTGGGACCGTTGTGATGGTTCTTGAGAAGACATTGCTGGAAAAACTCTCCCAGTAATCCTAAACTTGATTCTTTTCCTCTTGATTTGCAATTTAGTTGCATTAAGATTGCTGGGGAGCAAAATTTCACACCTCTTTCCCTCTTCCACCCAAGAGTGCTGGTAGTAGCAATGACAGCTAGTGGGGCAGGGAAAGGGGTGGGGTGGGGAGTTCTGGGCACATGTAATAAGCCACCACCAACAGCAACAACAAAACTATAAAACTTCAGAGGCTGCAAATAGTCTTCCATTGTTTACCCTTGGTATAAATGCTAAATATGGATGATGATTTAGAACAGAAACAAGGAAGCATTTCATACATAGTTACCTTATAGAATTTGCCACCAGACCATGTATTTATGGTTACCATTTTAGATTGCTTTAAAGGCAGGCTCCGGAAGAATGCCCACTGTGTGTTCCCTCCAAGATTAAAGGCAGCCTCCCTCTGAATTGGCAGTTATTAGGATGAAAAAGGGTGAAAGCTGGGCTCCCATTTTCTGACTTTGAGCATCCCTTAGATCTTTGGTTAGCTGTTGTGAAACAGGATGTGGGTCTTAATATTCCTTCCTTTATATGGTTAGACTCTATGTAGCCCAGCCACATTGGATGAAGTGGGTTCTTGTCCACAAAGCTTGTGTGCTAGTGAATGTGAGATCCTTCAAGATGTCACAAAATAGATTATTGTAGTACATGTTTTCTGGGATAAGAATTGAGTTTAGTGGGCAACTGTGCCTTTCCAAATGTGTCTCACTGCTCTTTAGGGCTGGTGGAAACCACCCATAACTAGGGAGCTGTCCACCTTATGCTACAATAAAACTTTCCACTTTTAAGTGGCCGTAAGACTTTGGGTGGGCTTTGCTGCATCCGATTAGTATGGCTAATGCTTAGAAGCTGGAGATGCATGACATTAGTACCAGAAGAACCCATGGGCACAAGTGTTCCTAAGAATGTGGCTCCAGTTTTCCTGAAGCATAGTGAAATCCTCATCTCTGTTCAGAGTGCCTGCTCAACTTGTATTTTCCTGTTAATATTCAATAGAAGTTACATTAGGTCCATGACCAGCTAAATACTGAGTAAACATTTAGAATACATCATGCTGTGACTTAGCTCCGGGGTTCCTGATAACGCACAGGCATAACCTTGAGTCCTCCTATTAATAGCTGCTGACTGCAGGGTTTTCATTTCAGTATAGCCTCATTATAACTCTATTATTGAGCTGATTGGAAAATAAATCTGAGAGGCACTGCTTGTAACAGTAACAATCAGATATCGTTTAAGAGAGATATTCTTGTGATTAGTCCCCGAGAGGAGTGAAAGGTATCTGATTACTAGGGCTGATAACTTAGGTACTTCTTGGACTTGTTCAGGTGATCTCTTCCTGGGCATTAGCAAGTAGCTACAGCCAATCACAAGCCTGATCAGGAAATACTAGAATACATTTTCCCTGGGTGCAAAAAGGAACACCCAAAATGATCAAACTCTTGAAGCACCTATAGTGAAGCACCACTATAATTGAAGACTGAAACGTTTAAATATTTTTTAATGTTAATAAACCCCCAAACGAAAAGAAGATTCAGAGGAGAAATAGTAGAGTTTTTATAATATTTTGTGTAGCATAAAGTAAACATTGTTCATTTTTAATTAAAGTACTGCCCTGTTGTACAACAACAAAAACACTCTCCCTAGCTTCTCAGTGCAATAACAGCTTGAGAAACAGGTGGAAGAATTTAGCTTCCTGCACTGCTAAAGTCTCAGCCTCAATGTCATGACATTGGCACCAATCAAGGAAAACTACATTAGTGAAGCAAGAGGGAATCTTCTCCCCTTTGGGTGATAGGTCAAGAGGTTAAAATGTAAAAAAGTCATCCCTGGTTATTACAATTGAACTTACTTTCTTGAAAGAGCACAATAGCATAGAGCAGTGTTTCTCAACCTTGGCAACTTTAAGATATGTGGACTTCAACTCCCAGGATTCCCCA